GGGACAAGAGCAGCACCAACTGTGCTGAGTACTCAGTAACCCTAAACCTGAAGCAGTGCAGCAGTACTTAAGATAACTGCAGCTGCTCCCAGTAAAGAACCCATGCCAACAACGCAATGTGTAACTGCAGGTACCACAGCAGGGAGGTAGGAATACCTGTTCAGGTTAATTGCCTGGTACGTGTAGAAAGAGAGGAATTCCATAACCACTGCATTCCAGAAGCCTGGAACATCACTTCAGCAGCTTCCAACACGATGGAATAAACCAAATGGAAGAGGTAGAGGCAGAATCTGCAGCCAGGCACCAGCAGCCAAAGCCACTTGTTTGGGAAGGTCACGGGGGCCGTTTTACAGTGAACCATTGGTACCTCAGCATCCGGGAGCAGCCTCATCCTGACCCTGGTGCAAACAAACACTGCCAGGGGTTGATCCTGTTGGAGCGAGGCCAGAGGAGGCCACGGAGCTGCTGCTCTGGAGCCAGGCTGAGAGAGCTGGGCTGGGGCAGCCTGGAGAAGAGAAGGCTCCTGAAGGGGAGACCTGAGAGCAGCTCCAGTGCCTAAAGGGGCTGCAGGAAACCTGGAGAGGGGCTTGGGACAAGGGCCTGTAGGGACAGGCCAAGGGGAATGGCTTGAACCTGCCCGAGGGGAGACTGAGCTGAGCTCTTAGGCAGAAGCTCTTCCCTGTGAGGGTGCTGAGGCGCTGGCACAGGGTGCCCAGAGAAGCTGTGGCTGCCCCATCCCTGGCAGTGCTCAAGGCCAGGTTGGACAAAGGGGCTTGGAGCAAGCTGCTCCAGTGGAAGGGGTCCGTGCCCGGGGCAGGGTCTGGGTGAGCTCCGAGCTCCCTCCCGTAGCCGCAGAACCCCCCCGGCCCCAAGGACCCGCAGCGCCGCCACCGCAGGAGCCCGGCCGCGGGGCGCCCCCTGCTGGCACAGCGCGGGCAGAGCCGGGGCCGCCGCCCGCGGGGGTACCCACGGCATCCGCTTCCCTCCGACAGCCGCACCTGCAGGCACTGCTGGGCCATGGGAAGGCAATGGGGACTGAGGGAAGCTCCTGGGGGCAGGTGTGACACGGGAACAGGTTCATCTCTCCTCATCGCTGCCGTCTGCAGTGGGTTTTGGAGCAGGACAGCTCAGAACCCTCTCCTGGGACAGCCCTGCGATGCCCAAGGTTGTGTTCCTTATGGCAAACACAGCTTCATTCCTTACATCTTCCCAAGTCTGCGCCTCAACTCACAGGCAGCACCGGGAAGGTCAGCACCAAACTGCTCTGTCTGGAACCTGGCTGATGCTCCTCAGGACAGCACACGAGCTCCGTGACGGAATGAACCCCATGTGGTCTGATACATGTTTTCATACCTAACGCACACAAAACCCCTGCAGAAGACCCTTAAACAGCAGAAAAATTACACAAGTCATGTTTATGGGTTATAAAAGCCCTTTTATAAAGCCATTTTTAAACAAAACCAAAAAGTTTACAAAAGAAAATAAAAGATACAGAAGAATGAGTTGCTTAATATATTCCAAAAAGGAGAAAAAATAAAAGAGGGGACACAATTCCAACATGCTGAACAATAAAGGGTTCTTTTTCTTTGTGGTTTCTTTTAATACAAAATACAAGCGAAGGATACACATACTTAAACCAGAGCTCAGGAGCAGGTATGCAGTCCTGGGAACCCTTTCAATAAAAGCAAAGCAGGGGGGGTGTTTTTGTGGTTTTTTTTTTTTCTCTCTTTTTTTTTTTTCTTTCGTTGCAGGTACATACAGAGACTGGAATATGTAAAATTAAGTAGCACAAAAGACCATCACACAATTCTACCAATGAAGGTTGTAGCTAGAAAGTCATGAACAGGGTCAACAGGCATGTCCACTTCAACCCCTTTCTTTAGAATAATTAAAAATAAAACAGTTGCTTTTACTTTAAATAAAGCATTAATGTTACATTCAGACTTCACTGCGAGTACCACGCCGCAGGTCTCAGTGTTGTCAAGGTATTGCAAGAAGCACCAGCCTGATGGAAACACCCCCCTGCCAATGGCACCAGAATGCTGTTTGCAGCAGCCCCTTTCTCTCCCGGCTACAAGGCATGAGCAGGGGGACTGCAAAGAGCCTGGTTTTGGGCCAAGTTCACCAGGGCATTGCGAATACTCAAGACAAATAGTCACTGCATCCCATCTAACGCTGCCCTGCTGACAGCCGGAGGCCCAAGGCCCTACCTCGGAGTCTCCTCCTCTACCTTCCAAGTGAGTATTCAGGGTCTGCTGTGACACGATGTTCATGGTTCAAACAAAAACTTACGTAGCTCTTATTTACAAGTTTATTCTGGAACAATAGCTTCTGCGGGGAAAGAAAAGTCAAACTCACAAATCTGCAGAACACAAAGGGAAGGAGATGGCAGACGCTCCCATGCGCGCACTCACACCCGCGCACTCACACACAAAATACTTCGGGGGGCTTTTACACACATTAGCCTGGCTTAAGCTGATTTGAGTATTTTCTCCATCCCACCCACGACCCCTCCCAAAATATATATATAAAAAACCCTCGCCCCAATATACAAAGCATATGCACAATGGTGGTTGCAGTCACACTGAGCATGCTCCGGCGATGGACCCGCTCGCGGTGAGGGGGGCAGGCAGTCTAGAGAGTCAATCCCGATAGTGGTCGAGACACAAGAGTCAGCACGTGGCGAGAACTTGACTACACTTAAGAAACAGTTGTGGTTTGGTTTTAATAGAAAGAGTTCAATGAAAAGACATTCAAATGCCAGTCATCTACGGAGGTGGGAAGGCTAAAACAAGGATACACTTGATCTGGGGAGGTCTCGGAAGGACACTGTCATCTTTCAGAGCTCTGATGCTCCTCAAGAGTACTTAAACCAACAGTCACCTTGGACAGTAAGAACAGAACAGTTAGTGTTGCTTACTATTGTCGTGAGCAGAACTTATATTTAAACCTCCCAAAACTGTAGGAAAATAGTCAAAGTTCAGGGAAAATTGTCTATTTGATCATATACATATAGAATATATAATTTCCACATATAGATGTGACCCACCCCCCCCAAACTAACATCTCCTATATGCCAGCAACTATTTTGTGACAGTGTCCCTTTAAGCATCCATCTGCTTACATTTTCAGATCCTGCCTCCCCCAACAGATGAACATCCACTTCTCAACTATTAAACTCATGGATCAGTTTGTAGTTTTTAAGAACCATGTGTTCAACAATATGATCTGTTATAAAAATAAACACTTCACAAACAAATTACGTAAAGCAAAGCACCAGTTTCTACAGCTCAAAAGCTTCCAGCATGTTACAGTTTACTTCCCTCCCTCCTTCACCTGGGTGCCTCAGTGTTTATTGTACCTTTGGGACCATCACCAGTGGAGGGGTTAAAAAAAAAAAGGAAAGAAATGGGAAAAAAGAAAGGAATTCCAGCACATCTCCTGCTGCTGCCTGGGAAGGCCATCGCCTGCTGCTGATGCAGCAGCACCAGGCCATCGCCTGGTGGCACAGGAGCTGAGCACACTCAGCACTGAGCCCTGGCAGTGGTGAGCGTCCCAAGCAGAAGCCATCTAAGGTGTGCTGCTTCTCTCCCCACATGCTCTTCTGCTTTGATGAAGCTAAAAGAGAATGAAAAGCTTCTTGGCTGCCCCATTTCCATGTCTTGCTCTCCCCTACAATCCATTCCGAAACCCCATTTTGCTTGGTATGTTTGGCATTCTCATGCTGATCAAATAGGATGTGAAGCAAATAATCCTTAGTATGAAATTCCAACCAAAATTGCCAGTGTTCAAGCCTTGTGGCCTACTAAAGGCAGGACTACTGACATAGAGCTGCAAAACTGAACACGGTGGTGTAGATTCAGACACAGAATGGACAAAAGGTTATAGAATGGAAGTTAGTTCTGAACTACCATTTAAAGACTAAGAGCAGGGCACTACTTAACTGAACTCTGGAATAAATCCATTCACCTCTCTGCAAAGGCTCCAAAACTACAGCTGTGGAACAGAAGACAATCTTTCTCAAAGGCTTCTTCTGTGACTGAAACTTTCTGCTCCGGGAAGAACTCCTGTTCCAGCTCCTAAAGAAAGGCATTCTTCACAGCTTTCCTTCAAGAAAACAGAATGCTTCACACAAATTAAGTAAAAAGGACATTTAGAAATGGTAAGTGCCACTATTGAAAAATGCCGTGTGCTAAAAACAGTAACTAAAAAGCATCCACCTTCACTATTTTCTTTTACCTGGAAAAATGGAAACCGCTGTTTCAAACAGAGAAGCCAAGAAACCATTTGGGCTTAACTTAGTGTTTGCACGGAACAGTCAGATACAGCAAAAGGTACAAAACCCCATCAGCAGGACAGGGTTGACATCGTGTTCGGGTTGTGACAAACTCCAAGAGAAGCATCAAGCAGCCTGTACCAGCCGTGAGGCGAACGGATGAGAAAGCAGAACAGGTTTGTTAGAGCAAGGGCTGAAACTGCCAGGCAGGAGAGAATCCAGTCCAAAACCTGAACTGAGAACAACAGGAACTCGTTTTCACAGCCTTCACTTTAGTTACCTGTGTTAGCAAAAGAAGATCATACAGTGGAACTTATAAAAGACACTCTTCAGGAAATAAACCCTGGTCTGGCAGGTCAAGAACCAACCGTTTGACCAGTCAGCTAGAGGTATTCTACAGTTAATAGCAAAAAAACTCCCTAAGAAGCCAATAGACAATAGCTTGAAATAGTCTGGACTGAGAGGGACCAACCCCGTGGCCCAGACAGTCACAAAAGTGTATTCTATCCCCAGTTTGAATCCAACTGCTTTTGAAAACTTGGCCGTTTGTTTTCCCCGTATTACCCAAGAAGTGGAGGTAAAGAGACTCTGCTCTCCCAGAAACCGGCAGGTGGGAAGAGGGGTGGGAGAGGAGAGGGGATTACATTCGCTTCTTTATCAAGAGTTGATACTTCAGCTCCAGCCTTAAGCTGTTCTGCAAAATTAAACCACTTAAAAAAGAAGATTTACAATGGAAACACTGATCATCTTTATTGTAACGGCAACAGTAATTTCATTAGAGTAAAGAATATTAGAGAACTTAATTTTTTATAAGCCAAGGTAAAGTAATTTACCAGCCTCAATAAAACCCATGGCTATGAATCACACAAGACAATCACTCGGCTGTTAGATTAATAGTCATTCCACATTTTAGGCTCCACACTGTGCTCATCAGCATCTCCAGGCTTCCTAGGCCATTCAGCCCAACGTCCTTCCTGGTCATAGTAGTGTCTCTCTCTACAATCCAGACAGGATTCAACACCTGGTAGCAGGTGCACCAGCAGTCCAACTGATTAGCTGCCTTATGTTAACCTTCAAGAGGCTGGTTACAAACTGTGTAGCTCTGTGACAAAAAGAAAGGATGCAAAGCTTCTCAGCTATAGATAACTGTGAGCGACACAGAGAAAGCACAAAGGGTTTCAAAAAGAGAAAAACAGCAGGTCCAGTTTTGAGTAGTTCCACCAACAAACATGGCAGTAACCTCTGCATTGGGGTTTGAAACCCAGGGCTCGGGTACTTTAGAAAACAAGGATATGGCTGCTTGGATAAAAAACACATTTAAATGCCACCACACACATCTCAAGTGTCTTGCATTTTGAGGGGGACATCCTGCTTTTTTATCAGGGAACGACAGAGCCCTGCTACACTGCTCCCAAACTCCACTTCCTCCCGACTTCATCCTTTACCACTGTTCCCTAGTCAGCACTGCTCAGGCTTAGGGAGCAGAACGATGCCCAACAGTCAGAAGCAGCCATGTCAATGTGAGAGCAAAGCCTCCCACACTGCAGGATGAAGACATGAAGTGGGATCGTGGTGATGTGCACTACCACGGAAGTCTGCTGTCCAACACTGGAGCTGGAGAGGCTGAGCTCTGACTACACAGCCTCCTGAGGCCAGATGGAGGGAGAGAAGAGAAACACTTCAGCGTGACTCATGGGATCCGAGACTGACCAGAGCATTACAGGAATCCTTTGCTTCACATTTAGGAAAGGACATCCCTCGCCCCAAAAGCTAAAGAATTTAGTTTTACGCTACCCGTTGATTCTTTGTTTTGTTTCCTTGGGAAAACTTTAGAGACATTTGCCACAGTCCCAAACTGGAAACCAGAGGTTTGCAAATGGTTTGCCATTTTTTCTTCCCCTATCCTGCCCACCTATAGCCAACTGTGGAAGAATTAAGGGATGGGAGAAGCTTGTAGGTTGTCTATCTGGATTTGTAGAGAATAAACTGCAATTCTCCTATTGCGGAACAGTATTCTCTCCAGCCAACACAAAAGATCTTGAATCCTGATCAGAGGGTCTTTACTAAACAGAAGACAGTGGCCCATCTACAAGTCTCAGGATTGCTTTCCATGAAAAGCGTGCCTGAATCCAAGAAACACAGGTTTCCTCCCAGTGTTTCCTCTTCCTCAACTGGAATTCCTACCAACTACATTGGTTTTTGAGTGCTTTTGTCTCACCAGAAGTCTGTTAAAGCATAGCTTCATTTTCCCCCCAGATTCAAACACAGAAGAACAGTTTGAAAGAACTCTTACCAGCACTGGGCAATCTAGTCTAACAAGGTATGATTTCCACGTATCAGTCTCAACCCTTATTGCTTCACAACTGCAGTTATCCCTTGAAAGAAAAATATATATATATATTCAAAGGTCTGTTAATTTTGTCTCCAATGGCTTTCCTGGGGGAGGGAGAACAGAATGGCCAACAGAGAACATTGACTTCAAAACAGGACTGTGTAAGGGTTTCCTCTTATTAAAAAAAGGATACACTGTATTAAAGAGCTGAAAGTAAAGACAGCATTCAAAGCCCATGAGTCAAGCCACAGCCAAAACCGTGTTCTACCCCTAAGTGTTTTCTTTTCCTTTTTCTTTTTTTTGTTGGGTTTTTTCTTTTTTTTCCTTTTTTTTTTTAAACAAAGATTTCCTCAACTGCCATTTAATCTTCCCCAGAGGGTGCTTCATCTTCAGAGCCCTCATCCCCTGACTTCTCTGGTGCAGGGCTGGCTGATTTTTTCTTTTCTGGGGGACTTTCAGGCTCTTCATCCTCTTCTTTAGGGGATGGGGTCTTTTCTTTTGTTGCCTTGGAAGCTGTGGGGCGGCCTGCCTTCCCTTTGCCTTTCACTGGGCTGGGGGTCACTGAAAGAAGAAAGAGCTTATAAAAGTTATGATCAGCAACAGAGACAAAACTGTCACGTGGCTTCATACAACCAGGACTGACCAACACATGGTGTGTTTTACACTAAGTGTTAGAAAAGACCTTGAAGCTCATCCAATCCAACCACTTCCAGCACTGCCAAGGCCACCACTAACCCATGGCACCGAGGGCCTCACCTCCACAGTGTGTGAGCACTTGCAGGGACAGTGCCTGCAGCCCTGCCCTGGGCAGCCTGTTCCAATGCCTGAGCACCCTCTGGGGCAGGAATTGTTCCTCAGCTCCATCTAAACCTGCCCTGGTGCAGCTTGAGGCCGGTTCCTCTTGCCCCATCCCTTGTTCCTTGGGAGCAGAGCCCAGCCCCTCCTGGCTCCATCCTCCTGTCAGGCAGTTAGTAAAGCTGAACTGAAAAGTTAGCTAATGATATCAGAACTATTTAATTCCATATCCTGATCAATCACTAGATATGACACCACAAGCACAAATTATTTGGCTACAATAGGCTGAAATTCAGACTGCAGCTTCTCAATCGGGAAAATTTTGCTATCTATGCAGTTTTTCAACAAGACATAGATAAGAATTCAAACTCTTTAATTAAGAGTGAAAGCTGCCACATTATTACATAGTGCTGCTTTAAATCACAGCCTGTTACATGAATGACATGAATTACATGCATACACTCACCTGTAGCCTTTAGCCTGGGCTTCGGCATTTTCTTTTCTTTCCTCTCTGGCTTGGATTTCTTGGAGACCTTTTTGTTTTTCTTTTTTGAACTGCCATAGTCACTGTCATCATCGTCTTCCACGAGGAAGTCTTCGTCGCTTCCTGAATCTGCTGGAAGCATACAGAGATTTCAGTTTTTATTGAGAAAAGGAAAGGGAGCAGAAGATACAGTTGAGGGATCTGCCAGTTCAACTGCAGAGACTGGAAACCAGGACTCGGTGACCTTAAGAGCTTCCACCTATGTGCTAAAGGACATTGCAGACAGCTTTACACTGCTAGGGATAAAGCACTAGTATAATGACACAGCGAGTGTTTTGAGGGCCTCTACAAATGCTCTATCTCCTTAGTAAGAGTGGGAGAACTGATCTTCTCAATGGTACTCTTAACTCCATTGTGAAATCATTCGCACTCAGTATTTCAGATTTCATTACCAGGACCTATCTCTTCTGAAACAAACTGTCCTTCCCTGATTAGATCAAGGATAAAAAGTACTCTTATGTCATCTGAAAGGAGCATGAATGCTTCAAAATCAACTGGATAGCAGCAAAAAGCATGAAGAATTTCACAAGTGTTAAAGCTTGGTCCGTTGGACAGACACGCAGTGATAAGTTACTGAGAGGAACAAGTTACATCTTCACTGTCACAGTCAAAAAGCAAACTGGTTTCCTTTTGTTATCTGGCCAAACCCATAAACTTCTGCTTAACTATACCCATATTACATAGATTTTAACTTTTTACAATCCCATTTACTCACTCTCCTGGAACTGTGCTTCATCATCCTCTTGCTCTTCCTCCTCGCTCCCCACATCATCCATAAGCATCTCTCGTTGTTTAGAGGCTGCTTTGGACGCTGCCTGTCGTTGCTGACGCACGTTTTTGTGGTCTTCTTTTTCATCCTCACTGTCCTCTGCAGCAAAAGTCACCACGTTATAAGGAGACAGGGAACAGAGATCACCTTGAGGTAGTACAAGCACAAGACACAGGTCAAGGCAGTCATGAGAAAGTGAATTAAGATGCTCAGTAACTGTTTGTTACCTGCAGGCCTTTTCCTGGATTTGGAGGCCACCCTCTTATTCTTTTCTGGTTTAGCCTTTTTTCCTTTTTTGCTTTTTTGAGAGCTCTCATAGTCACTGTCAGCTTTGCCATCATCTGCTCCTAAGTCATCATCTTCGCTGCCAAAATCTTCATCTGGAAGGAAAAGGTACAACTATGAAGTTTCTTGTATCATTCTGAAACAGGGACAAGAACGAGAAGGAAGAGATTCACAGACACCTATCTGCTGCATATTACAACACAAAACCAAGTTATCCCAAACCAGGATGGGAAATAACAGCAGCAAGAAGCAGCATCCAGCTTAAGTGTATTAGGAAAGTGCATGCTTCTCTAGGCAGAACAGTTTCTTTCCTATGCTAAATCCTACTCCTGTAGCTCTTACAACCTGCTCTTCACTTTGTAGATACACTATCTGCACAATGTAGTTAGTTACCTGCCGAGTGTGAATCATCTTTCTTAGTCTTCACATCTTTTTCTTCTGAATCCTCACTGAAAATGAGAGAAAGACAGGGTTTGGCTGCTGTTTTAACTTTGGTTTCAGGCACTGACATATGGAAAACACCAATATGCACAGAGCAAACTGATCTCCAGGCTGGGAAGAGGCACTTGTCCTGGACATCACCATGTTATACTTCAGAATTACTCAGCTGTGAACGGAGAGATCATGGCTGGAAAGGTAACGTTCAACCTTTGAATCACAGACAAAGTGATCCAACCAGGAAATAAGGTTGAGATGAACCATGCACTTCACTCTTAACCCTATCAATAATACAGGTCTTGCATTTGACAGTTAGAAATTAAGGTTTATGTAATACATGTCTGAGCCTATAAATGGAATAAAGTTTTATACTGAATATTATAGTCATCACTTTATGTCACTGCTTTCTTTGGACCCCTTCATCCTCTATTGCTCTACAGCACTTGACTAGCACATATTTGGGTTTACAATCTCTCAAATGATCTCATTTCTGAGGGAGTTTCACCACTCCTCACCAGAGGGCATCCCTATCAAGCAGGTACTCATGCTCTTATCCAAACCCCCATCATTAGTCATTCCCACTGGCCAGAGAGGGCTTTCCTTCCAGCATGGAAGAACGTGCACTCCAATCAGGAAGCAAGCAAGTGTTCTGAGCAGGAGTGGTAAGGGCCAATGCTGTACAACATGTACAATAGATCAAACCTCTGCTGCTTTCCTATCCGGCAGTTGAAGCTGCCACACAACACTTGAAGAACTCTCATAGTTTAGGTAACTTGTCTCACCACAGCCCCTCAGGCCTGGATGTTTTCTGTGTGGGTTTCAGTCCCTTGAAGACATGAGTTGGCTTTCCATGCAAGCCCTCTGTGAGTTTTGCAATACATACAGAACTGTTCTCACAGATTTAAAAAGCCCCAGAGCTAAAAGGACATCAAGGTCAGCTACTAAATTGCTTTGGGAGCTGCCCAGCCCTATCTCTTTACAGTCGTATCCATGAAATCCTTGATTTCAGGTATTCCAGGTATTTGCCAGGGTGAAAACAGTCTCTCCCACCACTCAGTTCACAACAGCAGGTAGACCATGGAAATATTTGCATGCCTACAATTCACGGAAGAGGAAGATGATAGGGAAGCCTCCAAAGTGTACAGTGCAAGAGGATCAAGAGACACCTTGGGCTTACAGAGTATGAATAAACTCCATCCCTGAAGCTGGTGTCTCTCATGAGGGCAGTCAGTTGACTTATGAGGTGTTATGGCAATCATTTGCTGACCACAGTTACTGTAAACAGGAAGATACTTTCCCTCTACAGGAAAGACTTCAGCTATTCAGTAGGGCATCACACTGCTGGAGCAACTCGGTTATCAAAGCAGGTTACTTTGGTTATGAATTAGACAAAACTAGAAATGGGAAACAAAGAAATATAACAAATGGCCCCAGCTCCTAACTGCCACTGTACTGTAGCATTTAATCTTTAACCAAAAGGGGGAATGGCTTTAAACTGAAAGAGGGGAGATTTAGATTAGATATTAGGCAGAAGCTGGAGAACTTCTGAGGGTGGTGCTGGTAGTGAGGCACTGGCACAGGGTGCCCACAGAAGCTGTGGCTGCCCCATCCCTGGCAGTGCTCAAGGCCAGGCTGGACAGGGCTTAGACAAACAGAAGGTGTCCCTGCCCATGGCAGGAGGTTGGAACTGGAGGAGTTTTAAGGTCTCTTCAACCCAAACCATTCCATGATTCTATGAATGCTCCAAGCATATGGAAAAAACATGGAAAACAGAATGCATCTTGCCACTGACTTACCTGGATAATTGGAACAGTTGCCAGTTTCTGTAACTCTGATCATATTCCTTCCCATTCCCACCATCTAGCTCTGGAAATTTCAATGACAAAGCACTAGTGACAAGTACTTTCCACATGATTTCTCTGTCTATTCGGATGAGAAAGAACCACCTCAATGTCCAAACTGATTATTCAAGCTTTGTGATTGAGAGCTCTGTAACTTACACTGCAGACCTTGAACTCCACTTACAATCACTCCTCTTAGGATTTACTGCTCCCCAGACACAGGACAAGGTTTGGAGCCATGTTTGTAGGGGATGAAGTGCTGCTTTTACCTGTCCTCCTGAGAGTTCTTCCCAGATCTCCTCTTATTTTTAGCCTCCCGGGGAGACGAACGGATTTTCTTGGATGGAGGACCTGAATCTCTTCCATAATCTTCATCTGGATGGGACAGCACAAAATGGCTTTGAGTCAAACTCCTGGTTCCCAGCAAACTGACTCCTTCAGCTATCACTTAAATTGCCCATTTCATGCACATCAAAAAGAAGCCCTTAAAAAAACTCAAACCAACACAATATCAAAACCACAAAGCTTCAAACAGAACTTTATAGAAGCAAAGTGCTGTCTTTAACCAGTGATTTACCTTGTCTTCCACCAGCAGCACAACCAGTGCCCGACACAAACAAGTCCGACATAGGAAGATGAGCTACAGAAAGCCCCACAAGAGGACACAGTGTTTCACTTTACAGAAACAGAGTTGTTATCTAAACCTATTACAAACTAACATCCCTACATATTTCTACGTGCTTTTAACAGCACTTTATTTACTGTGCTGTGATGGGAAAAAACACATGTCATTGTGGAGTAGTTTACACAGTAACTTTTTACAACTATTACACAATACCTTATACAATACGGGAACAGGACTGCAATGAAGAACTATGCACATTTGTTTCCATTATCAGTGCAGCCTCACTGAGCAAACAGTAGCACTGTGAGTGTTTTCTAAGAGCACAAAACGTATTCCATATGGCTTCCAGAAACATTCCATTAATTCACAGGGACATAAAGACTGGGGTTTGGAGATGCAATTCCCAAAAATGCCTCCTGACATGATGGGATTAACTGCAGTCCCACTAAACTGGAAACACATTTTATGGGAGAAAAAGTGGCATCAGGGAGATGCTGCCCCAGAACATAACATAGACCAAGGAAGAAGATCGTTGCTGCCAACAGCCTCAGGGCACTACAACAATACAAGCATTAAATAGTAAGATTTCTATCACCATTGTTTGCTTAATACAAAGCATATGAGGATCATTATATTTGCAAATACTTATTAACAGTTCAGGCTGTGAAGAGCAGAAAGTCCTTCGAATGTAAGTTAAAGATGTGACAAGAAGCAAAACAGCTGATACACAAAGCAATAAATGAACTAGGCCCAAGATTATATTGGTAAGAAAAAAAAAGGCATTTACCAGCATCGTCTGATTCCTGAAACTGGGAATAATCGACCACCTTCCTGTTCCTGTTCAAAAGCAAGGGGAAAAAAGAAGTTAGCAATCTGAGATACAAAAGCTTTCTGCAAGTACCAAGAAAGTGCCATATCCTTGCTTACAGTGCAGGATTTGCAGCCGAAAAACACTCCAAGCAAACTCTCCTAAAGCAAACCACCTACACCTTTGAAGTCAGAGATGAGCACTCTATATTCTAGCCTTTTCCCAAGGAGCTGTTAGAATAGACTGGATTATAGTCTTGCAGTTGAGAAGTGCATTGTGATAAGTAGCACTCTCTTATGGCTCATGGCTGCAGTGAGGAAGAGCCATCTTAACCTGCACTACATGGTTCTTTCATTATTCACACTATGGAGCTATCATTATGTATCACACTAGCAAAAGCCTATTCTAAAGCAGTGTTTCCACCCCAAGATTAAAGATGCACATCAAGAAAGCATCAGCCTGAACTTTAAGCCAGAGCTTCCCCTAAGACCCTGTGGCACAGCTGTGTTACTTAAGACCAGGATTCCAGGTGTAAAACAAGCACACAAATATCAGCATGAATTAGAGAAGCATTTCCCTATTGTTTTCCAACCCCTCTGACTCAGAGCCAGTGGCAAAGCTGATTTTGCAGCCATCACCACCCATGCTCACCTCTACAGCCAAAAAAGTCAAGCAAGTGGTAGGAGCTGGAGGACCACTGCACAGAGAAGGCAACACAAGCCCCCTCCAGCACATGAACCACAAGGCCCTTCCCCTCTCCTGCCCTGCTGAATTCCACACACAAACTGGACTGCACTTTGCAATTAACTTCATGCATTGCTGCCAAGAGCATCGAGCTGAAAGATGTCTCAAAGGCCATTGTTGCCTTCTGGCTGTTGATCCATTTGAAATCAAGTGTGAGTTGGCCTCCTGTACAAGTACCTCTCCTCACGGCTTGCAGCAACAGGCATCAGAAGATGAAGAAGCACAACCAGGACCGAGCCCCCTTAAAAAACTCCCCCAAAGCTCCAAGCTCTCAACAAAGAAAGCCCCAACAAGCAAAGAGAAGGGAAGCAAAACCAGTCATTAGATTGCTACAGGCTGAATCGCATCCAAGCTGCAGAGTACGCGCAAGTGGAACAAAGTACAAGAGCAACGTGCTCCCGAGCACTGCTTGCTCGCAGCCCCAGCACAGGAATACACCAGTTCAAGAACACAACCACTGGCAAAGCTTGTTACAGTGCACTGTCCAGGAACTCCAGTTCCTTTCCAACAGGCAGCCTTCCTGAAGATTGCCTCCTGATGTGCCTCCCATGTGAAAGCACTGATTTTACTCTAGTAAGCATGTGAAGAGCAATGAAGTTACTAAATAGGATGTTCAATCACTTCTCTAACATGCAAGATGGAAGTCGTAATCTTGCCACCTTGTAGTAACTTGGTCACACACAGCTTTATCTTCCTTTTTTCAGTCAAAGGCCCAGATTAAATCAGGCCCTGAAAACATAGCACAGACAACAGAACTTCAGTGAAAAACACTGTCCCTATGGAAAACATCCTTCCTCCTTCTAAACTCTGTACCCTGTGTTCAGCTGGACAGTAAATCCTGCCAGGTTCTCGTTACCTGCTGAACAGGAGCAGTGATACTGGTATTAAAACCCCATCACTATGGCAGAAGGAAACTAGAGAGAAGGCAGCTTGTCTTGATGTGATTCTGCAGGGCAAGGAGAAGAGCAGAGGAAAAGGAATAACTTACAGTGAGATTCCTGCAGGCAGAAACATGCAGGTCTTCCCAACAGAGCCAGAGAAGCTCCCAAGGGCAGAACCAGCAAACAAACCACTCCTGCCTCTGCCATTCTGCTCACTCTATACTCATCACTCACCCCATGGAGATCAACTTATGCTTGGCTGTAGACCTGTCAACAGCACTGATGTGCAGTGCTTAGTAACTACAAGCTTGCAGAGAGAGACTGCATCTTTTATTATGCCAAGGTGATAAAAACAGAGTAGATAGGTACACTAGGGCTTAGAGCCAGAGCAAAAGTAGTGCTGGTTATGTAAAAAACTAGAAGCTTTTAAGGCAAGCAACCAGCTATAAACCATGTCTTAAACCAGGCAATAAACCATTTCTTACATTCAGTTAGACTGAGCATAAGACAATCTTGCAGGTATCTGGGATGGATACTGTTCAAGCTGGTTTCAAATACACACTGAAACTTTAAGGTAACTCACTTGCTAATTCAGCTTAACATTTACAGTGTGCATATGAGAAGGAACTGGGGGAGAAAAGGTAGAGAGAGAAGTTGCCATAGTGTAAGTTTTATTTAACAGCAGTCAGTCCAGTACTGATGGAATAAAGAGTAACTCTTCCAGCAAGTCCTCAGCACTCACTGAGCAGAGTAATGCTCAAGTCATTTACTAAGAACTCAGAAACACCCAATGGTTCTTATAACCCATACTCAATGCCCACCAAGCCAAGTAAGGATTGCATAGGAATACCCCAGCTTCAGCTAGTAAGCTCCCTAACTCCTCAGCCTTTGGAAGTCAACATGTCAGATTTCCACCATTCGGGAAGTTTTTGGCTTTGTAAAGGGAATACTCAGCTCCCCAGGTATTCCCACAAGTATTAAAATCCACAGATCAAGCCCCAGTTTAAACAAAAGAACACATCAGCTCCTGAAAAGCAGTGCTGGGAGTCTTCATAAAGCTGGTGACCCACCTCATCGAGCACTGAAGAGCAATGGTTAGGACAAATAAAGGACAGATTAAATGGTTACTGATGGGGGTTTTGGTTTTAACTCCAGCATTTAACCACTATCACCATCAAACCAAGCACTGTGAGGAACATCAGCGCCAGTCCCTCAGTCCAGGTCAAAGTGTTCACTTCCAAGTTCTCTTTCCCACCTGGTAACGATGTCCCACTGTGAGGGCAGCGTCTTGTCAGTAAGTATTGCCATTTAAAGCACCCCTCTGGTGCCTCTTTTACCCAGAGATAAAGCAGCCAGGAAATGTTTTTCCTGCATACTTCTAAAGCTGTGCAAAACAAACACCCAGTGCTGGTTTTAAGCCTTAAACGAACATTCCCTCACAGGGACACAGCAGAAGCTGAAACACGGAAGCCCAGTGACAGTTCTGAACCTAAAGCACATCACTATGGTGTTACATGGTCAAAACCAGCACAACTGTACTCAGACAAGACTTGAGGAGAGGTTCCCAATTAAAGAGGTCATTGTTTGGGGCTAGACTTGGGGTAACTCCAAACGCCTCTAAGAGTAAGCACTGCTCATGGCATCTCTAGGAGTTTTTAGGGATACACATGACTTGGAACTCCATAAAACAATTAAATGATTTACACAGCAACAGTTTTGGGGCCATCCTCCATTTGAGCCTAACTGCAATTACTAAATACAATACAGAAATGGCCTGACGCAGCACAGGGGGAGGAAAACCGCAAGCCCCAAAACACCCCTTCCCAAATCAATTGTGCAACCTGTGCTGTTCCTGGTATTTCAATTCCTATTGTACCTTTGCCTTGCTCTGTTTCTCTTCAGGCTGAACGTTTTCAGAGCAAGGATCAGATCTTTTTGCTTATCTGGAAAGCATCTGTAGTTATCTCTGGACACGATCACACATTATTCCTTAAGTTAAATCCCAAGGAAAAGCTGTTTTCCCTCCTACTCCATGCAAGAAATCACAATATTTGTATTTTACATTGCCCAGGTACAAGACTGGCAACAAGTCATATTTAGAGAAATAGGGCTTTTCCTGCAAGCAAAATGTCAAAGGTTCCCCTTCCCCTGTGGTGCCAACGGAAGGCTGGGATTCGAGTGTTACTAATACAGAAAAATTAAGTGCCTTGAAGCACTGAGATGGATCAATTCATAACCGGTTTTAATCTTAAAATGAACAAACACAAACCCCTGTGACTTCTCTCCTCGCCCAATGCCTGCAGGGAAGGAATTACCGGCGAGTGAAAGCAGCCAGCAAGGAAAAGCAGAAGCAAAGGCCAGCCAATGGAGAGTCAAAATTCTTCCTTGAAGCACATTAATTGGTGTTCTTTATAAAATCAGCGCCTCAAAATCAGGTATTTCAGTTGAAGGCACAGGAAGGGATGGCACGATGCAGCCACCAGCTCCAAATGCTCTCTGCAGTACTTGAGTGAAGGCAGCCACATGAAGCAGAGGTTCAGTGACTGGAGCTTCCTTTCCCTTTCACTCCTTGCCATTTGCCAACAATAGTGCAGATACCATCACTACCCACCCAGAAGCAGTTTAATTGTGTAGAAAGCCCTTGGGTCCAAGGGCCAGGCAAATGAAGCCTGTAAATACCAGGACTTCACTACCACTTCACACCAATTTTAAAGGAACCAAAGTATTAAGGCAATATTCCACCAACAAGTGGAGGAGAAACAAGGACACAGGCTGGATTTTACGAAGATCCTTGTTTTAAACACACAGATCCACCAGAAACTGGCAAACATAACAGAATAATTCAAAGCCCACTGAACACAGGAAAACTTTTCCAACACCCAATCTTACTCTGATGAGAAACCCTTCCCTAGTCTTCCACGTTAGCAACAACACGCCAAGACATCCAGACAACACCTCAGAGCCAACAACTGGAGAAGTTCCTGGCTTAAACCTATGAAGGGAGCTCTCAGTCACTCCCTAGCAGTGCAGCAGCCTGCACCAGCCACTGAAGACTGACGTTTTTCCCCCGGGAGGGCTGTTTAACACAGCTACACAGTGGATTGCCAGACCTGCTCCTCACACGTGCCAAAGGGTTTGCTGCTGCTAGCAGCCTGCTGGACTTTAGCACCTCATTTTCCTGCCTGTCAGCAGGGGTGACCCAAGTCAGCTCTTTCACAACGCTGCAGGGCCAAGCACATTTCTATTCATTGATTATTTCTGTCTCCAAATGGTGGCTTAGACAGTTACTGAATAGCAGAAAGCTTGGGAGCTACTTGGGAAGACACACCACCTCCCTTACCTGTAGAGAGCCTCCCAGGCGGGCAAGTTAACCACCAGCAGAACAGGCTCTGAAGTGTCACCCTGAGCAGCAAAGTCACATCACGTCTGCATTTCAGAGCACAGGCACTGTCACTCAAGATCAGACCACTAGTCCATCTCATCCACCATCCTGCCTTGCAAAAGGCCAAAGCCTGATGCTGCAGAGCAGAGAATACTCACTCCTATTAATCCACCTTTTGGCCTCAAGACAATTCCCTAAGACTGAAATTTGCGCTTTATCTGCCCTTACCTTTGCATGCAGACTATTGGTCCAAAAAACAGAGCTATGAAAAAACAAGTGTTTCCCTAGCCACTGTGCCAAACTCCCCCACTTAGCACAGTCCTAGCTTCCAGTTATTTAACTCTTGTGTGCTAGAAACACCACTTAACTACAAAGGCCACCACCTATAAATGTACACGTGTAAGTTTTTACAGCCATAATTAATTTCATATCGATTATTCCACAGGACACCCAGGATCCACAGACCAGGGAATCAAAGCACAACCAGTTACTTAAAGTACCCTGAGAAAGAAAACATTGCAGAGCATTCAAACAGCACCTAATGAAACCTCACTTTCGCTATAAAGACAATTCAGGTCTCAAGTCCACTCTGTGAGCACTTTCCAGTTCCCTCTGCCCGCCTCAGGTACATGCCCTGGGATTTCAAAGTCACCACGATCCAACCCCGTGCCTCAGGTTACCCTGCAGCCCCGCAGCTCCAGGCGCAACCAAAGCCACAACCAGCAGGACCTACCTCCCCTGCAGCTGACAGCACAGCCCGCTATGTCAACGCCCCACGGGTTCCTCCTTCCACGGCCTAAACCCGGCGCTCTCAGAGGGGAAGGGGGAAACACCCGTAGGAAACGGACCCGGGGACCGCGCTTAGCGACCAGGCGAGAGGAAAAGGGCGTGCGCTGAGCGCGGCTCCCACCAGAGGGGGCGGCTCCTCCCAACTCCTCCCCTAAACGTGGTTTAACTCCATGCACAGCCCCGCGGCCCAGACCCTGCCCGGGCCCGGCGCGGTGCTGCGGGTCCCCTCCCCCTGCGGCGTGCTCCGCTTCCCCCCGCGCAGGGAGCGGGGCGCAGGGGCTGCGGCACCGGGCGGCTCACGGCGGAGATGCGCTCTCCCCGTTACAAAACGCTGCGCGCGGCCTCTCCCCGGGCCTGCAGCGCACCGGCCCCCCGGCGAACCAGGCCGGGCCGCTCGGAGAGAGCCATCAATGCACCGAGTGGCGGGGAACGTGTGCACCCAGGGAGGAACAGAAGGGAAACGGGCCCGTGCTGCGCCCGCGCGGCCTCCCTGCCCCTCACCCCGCCCCTCCGCGGCTCGCCCGGGCCTCAGGCTGCCCCTTCCCCAGGCACGGCCTGCGGCGAGGCCTGCGGCAGGGCGGGCGGGAGGGCCTGCAGCGCCGGGGGCCGGGCCCGGGCAGGGAGGGAGGGAGCAGGCAAAGGAGGGAGGGAGGGAAGGAGGCAGCGCTGGCGCCGCGGGTGGGAGGAGAGGCGGGAGCGGGGCCTCCGCGCCCCGCCAAGGACTCACCTGACAGGCCTGGACATTTTCCCCGGCGGTTCGGGCCCGGCGCGGGCAGCGTCGCCCGGCGCGGAGGGGAAGGAGGAACGGAACGGTCGCTCGGTGCGGGCTCGGCGTCGCCCGTTCCCTCCCCGGAGCGAGCGGGAGCCCTGGGCCCAGCGCCTCGGGCCGCGCCTCCGGAGCCGCCTCTTCCCCCCTCAGGCGCCGCCGCCGCCGGCCCGCGCCCCGCCGCCGCAGACACCCGCTGCTCTGCGAGGGCCGCGCGGCCGCCCCGGGCCCGGTCGCCGCCGCTCCGCCGCCGCCGCGGTGGCCGCTGCTCAGCCGATTCCCCCCCGCAAAATGGTCGCGTTCGCACCGCCGAGAGGATGCGAGCGGGGGGGGGGCGGTGCAGCCTAACCCGCTGGCACCACCTCCTCCCGCGCTCATTGGGTACGGCGGGCGGAGCGCCGCTTCCCATTGGCTAGTTCGAACCATCACGGCGGGTAGAGCCTGCCCACTGGCCCCGCGGGGAGAGGAGGGGGGCGAGGACGCCCCACACGCTCAAGCTGCTGTGCGCGGCAGAGGAGCGGCCAGCCGCAGATTCGCCACCGAGCCCCGGTGCTGCCGCCCGGCTCCGGGCAGACCCGGCCTGGTTGTGCCCGCCCCGCCGGCCCCGCTCCGCGTTGTCCCGGGGCGCACGGCTCCGGCGGGGCTGCGGGGCCCCATCCGCAGATTCGCCTCGCGGGGCCTGGCGTGGTTTTGGAGGGAAACCGCGGGGAAGCGGGCGCCGGGCCCCGGCTGCCTGAGGCCGGGCCTGCCCCCGGGGGCGGCCGTCCCTAGCGCGGGTTAGGCAGCGCGGTTAGTGCCGAGGGGCCGCCCTTTGTCATGCAGGAGGGCCGCCATTGAGGGACGCGCTCCTGAAGTGCTGCCGCCGGGCATACACTAACGGGAGAAGCGGGGAGCTGCTAGGAACGGGCTCCCCGAGCGGTGCCCGGTTAATTCATGGAGTGGTTTGGGTTGAAGGGACCTTAAAGCTCCTCCAGCTCCAACCCCTGCCACGGGCAGGGACCCCTTCCACTGGAGCAGCTTGCTCCAAGCCCCTGTGTCCAACCTGGCCTTGAGCACTGCCAGGGATGGGGCAGCCACAGCTTCTCTGGGCACCCTGTGCCAGCGCCTCAGCACCCTCACAGGGAAGAGCTTCTGCCTAAGAGCTCAGCTCAGTCTCCCCTCGGGCAGATTCAAGCCATTCCCCTTGGCCTGTCCCTGCAGGCCCCTATCAAGTCAAGCTGTGTGATGGAATCTGCAGTAAATGTACAGATTTCTTTATTTTCATAGCACATCACTGCCCTGTTAGCAGACCCGCTGGGCAATCCTTGTCTTCTGAAGAAACACAGAACATCCATCAGCTTCACCAGGCGGTGATTTCATTCCCAGCACCAATTTCATCACGTCCCCACCAGACAAAAAGACTGTGATGACTTCTCCCAGGTCCAGCGAAGGTTTCGGGTTCTTTAAATTCGCTAGAACCCCAAATTACTCCTTTTGTTTAGAACAGGAGCTGCATTGGCCATGGAGAAATAGAACTTATTCCACAGTCCATTAAAATGGCAGCTTCTGCCATTGCAGGTTAGCTTTGCTTTGCCTTTAGACAGGCTCATTCCCATTTCATTAAAAACTACATAAACCCATGTTAAGACGCCAGGTTACCTGACAGTACAACTATGGCCAGCTTTTTACCTCATATAGGAGTAATCTGGGTTCATTTAATGCCCTGCTTGAGCTTAACTTGCCTCCGTTGGAATTGCTGCCATTTTCCTGTTCCCTTCAGACGTGCTCTGTCCTTGGTGCAGTCAATGCTGGGGACAAAGCAACCAGGAAAGAAAGGGGAGCACTCGGAGCAACTGCCTGCAAAGATAGCCCCAAACCAGGCCATGGGAATGCCTGAGCCCTGAGCAAGGTGCGTTACCAACAACTACATCAAGGACTCCTCTTCCTCTCTTCCTCCTCGGTGCAGGCTCCATTGGATTAAAAGCCACGAGGCCTGAGTCAGGGATGAGTTCTGAAGGCTGACATCCTGCCTGCAGGTCAGTAAGAACGGGGGAATGGAGGAAGAAAGGGATTTCAGTGGCAAGGCTCTGCTTTGCTTTGCTTTGCTGGCAACACGGAGCCATTCACGCGTTGTGTTTTGTACATACCCTGGTTCTAGGTGAACTTGTGAACCCAATTGTTTGGACTGTGGAGACAGGAAAGCACCACCGCCACCGTAAGCAACATCAAGCTTTTATTTCAGCCCCCTGCAACACTGCATCAGTGACTGATTGAGACAGAGAAAACCTCTTTATAATCAACGTGGTAATATGCAACGTTACAGTAATCAGAGCCCTGTTTCTACAATACTTCTGTGGAACAGCAAGTGGTTTAACCAAACAAAACAAGGCGAAGTTTTACTATTATTGGCTTATTTCTGAACTGCACTCTGCCCTCACGCTTTCCCATTCAATTATAGTGAAAATTCCCAGCTCTGTGGCCCCCCAGGGTGCTGTCATCAATGTATAAAATACACCCTTACACTTGATGTGGTTTGGAGTCCCACGACCACAAATGAAAGTTACAGGCATGAGGAACACCACGTGGAAGAGAAGGAAATAGGTGCAGTTGGCTCAGAGTCACCCAGCGAGTACAAAGTCGAAGCAGGCACAGCAGAAGGGGAGCTCGAGTGCATTTCCATTCCTGCTGCAGTGAGCACGTTGATCAGAATCGAGCTGAGGCTTTTCTGCTTCATATTTGAAAGCAGCAAGTTCTTCTCCATCTGCACGAGCGAGACTTCCCTTGGGTTAAAATACCTCTAGAAACAGCTTTGCTCCAAGGTGGATTTTCCCTTTGAGGTGTTTGAAAAGCCAGGATTATCTCCACTAGGACAAGCTGGGCACAACCCATCTCACAGTGTTCTCCCCACACTGCCTGCCCCAGCAAGGAGCACTTCTGAACCCCTCTGTTTCACAGCACTGAATCAAAGTGGGGTTGGGTTGCCTTTATAAGCACCTTATGTGCTCTGAGAACACACATGTGCACAGTCAGATCCTTTTCCTGTCTGGTTGGGTTATGCCCATCTCAAGCAACGGCTCTTTCTGTTGTGCACACTTGTTCTCTGACGCTTGGCTGCTGTCTGTTGAGATGTGAACAAGCAGCAACCAGTGTGGGAGGAAACGCAAGGCCAAGGCACACAGTGGTACCCACCGGGCTGAGCAGAAATCATGTATCATAGAGGAAAACCTTGAAAGAGCTTTCTTTGGCTTTCTGCTTGCTTTTGAGAGGCACTTAGGAAGAAGAAATCCAGGTGAGAAGGTCCAGACCCCAAAGAGGCACTGGCACATCCCACACCAACAAGCAAAAGGTATAAAGGCACTTTCCTACAGGACACGGGGCTGAGGAGCTGGATCATGGAGACAGGAATTAGGAATCTTCAGTGCCAAGCTCTGACCCCAGGGACTGGGTCCTGGGCAGAGATTCCTCAGTTTCCCCATTGCAAGGGCAGCTCTAACACTTGGTCTCTTTGCTGAAACACTTTAGAGGTGCATAGAGAGAAAGCAATAAATAAAACATGAAGCTTAAATGGTTTCATGAGAAATCCTTTAAAAAACCAGACCCTTCTCCCCATGTTCCATAAAGAAAAGAGTTTTTTCTTTTTAACACAATATTTAGGAAGTAAAATTCAACCAGAGTTCCATTTGGTCACTAACCACTTCTACACGTTTCACGTTTCTACAACAGCACAGACAAGGGTAAGTTTAAGTGCCTGTAACCCCAAATTTGGCACCATTTACATGACAGAACCCTAGCACAGACATGAACACAGTGGAATACAGCAGCAGTTCTCCATTTCTCAGCCCTTACTCTTTCCTAATCAATCCTTTCCAACTCCAGAGTGTGAAACCCCACATTTCAGTGTGCTCAGTGAAGGCAACCAACCTTCTTACCACCTTCTCCCTCCACAGATGACAGAAAGTCAGCAAAGAGAGACAAGAGGAAGACTTTGACAGAGAAACACAGCTCTCCCTTAGCAGGGATCAGGACAAGCCAATTTAAACATGGTAACTAGTGAGCTTTTACCCACTTATTCGTGTTGTTGCCCAGAACCACTCTCACCAGTGAGCACCTGGGGACGTGCTCTTCATTTCCTTCCTGTCCTGCAAAGTCTTCTCCTTTGCTCTCCCCTTGCACCAGTAAACCCAGTGGGAGGGCTTTCAGGGAGCTCCCTGTCCCACATCAGCCCTGCCACCAAAGCCACCCCTGGCTACAGAGCAGCTGTGGGGAAGCAATTCCTCAGCAGTTGCAAAGCTACTTGAGATAGCAGGCTACAGGGTGTGCTATGAGGGAAAAGGATGTTCTGTCATACAAAGGAGTTTACGACCTATTCCTCATTCCACTATCCGTGCCCTAATAAAGTGGCAGCAGAAGGACTGTGCTAGGCAGAGGCTGAGTGAGAAAGGACAAACAGAGGCAACTGGGTGATTCCTGATGAAAGCCTGAGGTCTCTGCTGTAAAGCACCATAGTTGGGATGTACAAAAGTAAGGGCTGTGCTACCCCATTTGTCAAATCACACCAGTGATTTCACAGGTCTGGCTGCACAGGACACCAGCTCATCCACATCTGGCTTCCCATCCTAAGGGCACTTACTGGCAATGAAGAGCTGTGTTGGTCCCTCCAGGACATGTAAGCAGAGGTCTGCAGTTCCAAAGCACAAAGTAAAGAGTTTGCTGCAATCCCACACTGGGAATCCAGAGGCACAGAGCATGTGCATGGAATGAAGGTCACAGCACTTGGGACTGGTGCCCTTGGGTATGGCGGGTGCAGGCAGTGGGGAATAGAAGGTGCAACAGTATTAAAAATATACCTTTGCCATCCTTTGCCCTGCTCGAGGCCAGCCCATGGCAGGGGATGAAGTGCTCCAAATCAGTTAAAATCAATCCAAGCCACATGCTTGAACACGGACCGTGCTCCTTTACGAGCAGCAGAGCTCCCAGCTGCTACTACACAAGAGCAAGGGGAATCTTCTCACTCCTCCCTTCTTTCCTTGCTCCAAGTCATTGCAGCGATGCTCTGATGAGGAGGAGTTTGCATTGAACACAAGGCAGCTCGTGAGCGAGGAACAGAAATACCCCCAAAAGCAGTGACAGCCAGGTTAGGAAAACACGATGGTGATAACAAGAGGAGGAGGTTGCTGCTAGAGCCAAGCAGATGGCCCCGTCAGGGCTCTAACAGCAAGCCCAGCCAGGCGGGGTTGGCTCTTTTATGTTAATATAATCCCCGCTGCCAGCAGAAGAGGAACTTCCATCACCAGCGGATGAGGACATCATCTTTTCAATGAGGACCCTAGAAGACAAACACACGTGAGGTTGGGTCGGGTTGGGTTTAACAGGAGGCACGGGGCCAGCACTACAGCAGAAATCAGCAGCAATTCTTTCCAGCAGGACACAGAACTCCAGACCTGCACTAAACAAGCAGGTGAAGGAACCCAAGAGCACTGACAACAGCACTACTGCCATTACCTGCCAGCATCAAAGACCCTGTGATGAGCAGGTAACACAGCAACCACCTCACCTTGGGTCCAGGTTAGGACTGGGACACAGCAAGACGCTCGCTATGTACTGACTGCGCACCCTCAAGGTGCAAAAGCTCAGTCTAACACCTTTCAGACAAGACCAAATCCCCCCCTGAAGGACTGGTGCACCACCAAAGAGTTTCTTACACCTTTGCACAACAAGTCCCATCCTCCTGGTAGAAGCCAGCACATGAAGAAACATTGCTGGTATTGTTCAAATGATTTTCTGTCACCAGAAGCACATCAGAGCTTAACCAAGGAGAAAGCAAGCTTCTGACCTTTCAGAATTCAGGTTCCCTTGGGAGATTTCCTTGTGTTTTATTGCTGCTGTCTGTTACCTGCTGACAGCATCTCCCTCACCTCAAAGGCAGCTGTGTCTGAGAGAGGGAATCAGCTCTTAGGTGGATCACCAGCCACTGTGCCTACCTCATGGACTCATTGATGTTCTTGTTCTCCTTCACAGACGTCTCCACCCAGCCAGAAAAGCCGTTTTCCTTGCTGAACCGATCCACTTCTTCTCTTGTCACTGCCCATGGGGAGAGGTCGCACTGGAAAACAAAAACCCCTTGAAGTTGAGCTTTTTGGTTCTTCAGCTGGGAGGGGAGCTGTGCCCCTCACTCAGCAAACACTGCCCGTGTGCAGGCAGGCAGCAGGCTCAGCCCATCACAGCTCCCACATCACAACCCATAGAGAGCTCTTAGGGCACGGTTCTTAATGGGATGTTGCAAGCACCCATCTATTTATCTCCTCGGAGATGCTGACACGCCTCAGTGAAGCACGCACGGAATGGAGGCACAGGGAATCGTTGTCACTCATCCAAAATCTGCCTGGCCTCTGGCTAGCAAGGAAACGTGTTAGCTGTAAAGGTAACCTGTGGTACGTGTGTGCTGGGAAGGGGCAGGGCTAAAACCTGCTCCAGTGGAAGGTGTCCCTGCCCATGGCAGGGGGTGGAACTGGGGGAGCTTTGAGGTCCCTTCTAACCCAGACCAGCCTGGGATTCAATACAGATGATAACAGCTTGTACCGGGTGAGTGCAGTGTGTCAGTCACACAGGTTTCCTTAATGCAGCAAAGTGGTAACCTCAGAAGAGCCATCAGGGAACGGTGTCTTTGTGGAGGAGAGAAGAGAAGCCACTCTCCTGCCCACCCATCACGTTTTTGAGTCAGCTCCAGCTTTAGGCTCTCTCAAAGCAGGCAAATCTCAAGCTGCATCTGGGAAGCTGCTGAGCCAGCGCTGGCATGGGAAGAGCATAAAGGTAGGCTTGCAATGAAAGGGAAACAGAGGATGGAAAGAGAGCAGCTAATCCTCACCGGGAAACCTGATCCCCAGGAAGCCAGGCATCCCTCGGGCAGCTCTGAGCAGCACCCACAGCACCACACAGAACCCGCCCAGGCCACTGCAAGTGAAAGCACAGCACAAAAGCTTCCTAATCCAGGAGCTGCAGAGCTGAGCTCCAGCAGCACAAGAGCTGCCTCCTGGGAGGGAGCAGCTGATAACATCTTGGTGCCTCTCACACCAACCCCGAGGAGAGCCCTCAGAGAGGCAGAACATGCAAGGACTTCAGGAAGGGATTAAAGAGACCACAAGCTATGGGGCAGCTCTGGGCACAGCTCATTGCTAAAGGGGTCTCCTTCCCTTTGGCACCCCTGTTGCACAGCCGAGCCCACAGAGCACACGCAGAGCTGCTCACTTTGTTAGCCAGCAGCAGGCAGGGCACGGGGCTCCCATCGGGCAGCAGGAGCTTGCTGTCCAAATCCTGCTTCCACTTCTGGCTGTTGCTGAACGTGCTGATGTTGGTGACATCGAACATGATCACACAGGCAGAGGCCTCCCTGTAGTACAGCCGGGTCATGGACGTGAAGCGTTCCTGCCCTTGGGATTGAAAGGGAACAGAAATTACCCCCCTGAGGTATCATTTGCAGGTTTGTTCATGCAAGGAACACGTTTATCCCAGAACATCGCGCTCTCAGCTGGCACTAAACCTACACTTAAGTAATGGGGAGATATGGGGGCACTGAGAGCGCTCGTGTCACACCTCATAGGTCAGGAGAAACAGCATTTCTGACAGCAGCATCCCACACTGGGGTGGGTTGGACCTTAAAGCTCCTCCAGCTCCAACCCCTGCCACAGGCAGGGACCCCTTCCACTGGAGCAGCTTGCTCCAAGCCCCTGTGTCCAACCTGGCCTTGAGCACTGCCAGGGATGGGGCAGCCACAGCTTCTCTGGGCACCCTGTGCCAGCGCCTCAGCACCCTCACAGGGAAGAGCTTCTGCCTAAGAGCTCAGCTCAGTCTCCCCTCGGGCAGGTTCAAGCCATTCCCCTTGCCCTGTCCCTACATCCCTTGTCCCAAGCCCCTCTCCAGGTTTCCTGCTGCCCCTTTAGGCACTGGAGCTGCTCTCAGGTCTCCCCTTCAGGAGCCTTCTCTTCTCCAGGCTGCCCCAGCCCAGCTCTCCCAGCCTGGCTCCAGGGCAGAGCTGCTCCAGCCCTCGCAGCAGAGCAGGACAATCCCCTCCCTCGCGCTCTCCCTGGGGCTCCCATCCAGCCCTGTCTCTGCTCCGCTCTTTCAGTCCCCTCCAGCCACCCGAGTGCCTCTGCACAGCTCAGGGCTGGGGAGCAGAGTGCAGGGACCATGGCTGTGGCCATCCCCTGCTGCTCAGGGCACCCCGAGGGCTCTGTGCCCCCCCGGCTGCCCGTGTTTTCAAACGCCTTTCTGGGGCTGAAGCTGAACCCGGCTCCCTGCTGCAGACTTCTCCTTCCTGCTTGCTTCTTTAGGGACTCCAGAAGCACGCGCCCGGGCAGAGGAAACCGCAGCCCCGTGCTCCTCACCCTCCCCATCCAGAGCTGCTGCTTCAGAGCGGGTGCTCCTCGCTCTGCTTCATCCTGGAGCACCCCCTGCTCCCGACCCAGCCCCGCATCTCCGCATGCCCTGGGTGCTCCCCAGGGATCTGCTTGCACAGATCCGGATCCCAGCAGCTGGAGCAGTGCCTGGAGCTGCTCCACACAAGAATCACGGCCAGGTTGGACACAGGGGCTTGGAGCAAGCTGCTCCAGTGGAAGGGGTCCCTGCCCATGGCAGGGGTTGGAGCTGGAGGAGCTTTAAGGTCCCTTCCAACCCAACCCATTCCATGATTCCCGGCTGTCCTGGCAGTAACTGGGACTTTAACACACCCTCGTGGCTGAGGTGTTACAAACCCAGCTTCAAATGGGCACTTTTCCCATTCACTCTCCTGTGGCTTTGAAACAGGAAAGGTGATGGATTGATCACCTGTGCTGCTGATGGGCTTTGATTGGGCACTGAAATTACCCCTGCAAACCAGAGCCCCTCGGAGCAGAGCAGCCCTGCCCCTGCAGGAGAATCCTATTGGAGGGGGGGAAAGGGGGAAAGGAAAAGAGAAGGGAAGAAGCCACCGAGAGCTTCGGGTACCTGCGATGTCCCAGAGCTGGAGCCGCACGGTCTCGGACTCCGACCACTGCACCACCTTCAGCGCGAAGTCCACTGCAGCGCCCGGGAAAGAAAGGAAACCGCGTCAGGGGCTGCTCCTGTGCAGCCTCCCCCGTTCCCCAGCACCGGAGGGACCGGGAGCTGCTGGAGCGAGCCCGGAGGGGGCACGGGGATGCTGCGAGGGCTGGAGCAGCTCTGCCCTGGAGCCAGGCTGAGAGAGCTGGGCTGGGGCAGCCTGGAGAAGAGAAGGCTCCTGAAGGGGAGACCTCAGAGCAGCTCCAGTGCCTAAAGGGGCTGCAGGAAACCTGGAGAGGGGCTTGGGACAAGGGATGTAGGGACAGGCCAAGGGGAATGGCTTGAACCTGCCCGAGGGGATGGAGCAGGGCTGGGGGCAGGAGCTCCTCCCCGTGACCCGGACGCGCTCTGAGGTCAGGGGGAGGCAGGAGCCGCGCGGGGGCCTCGGGCACAGCCGGTGCCGTTCCCGGGGCCGGCCTCACCTCCCACCGTGCTCTTGTAGTGCCGGCTGAAGCTGTCGCTCGCGAGCCGCCGCACGAGCGAGGTCTTGCCCACGGCCGCGTCCCCGACCACGAGCACCTTGAAGAGCCGGTCCCGAGGGCCCATCCCGCACCGGGCCCGGGCCGCCGGCGTCACGTGGAGCCGGGGTCACGTGGAGCCGGTCACGTGACGGCCAAGTGAGCAGCAGCCTTAAAGCGGCGCTGCCGGGACTGGACACAGGAGCCGTGCCCAGTGAGCCCCAGCCCCATGGACCCCTGCACCCCTAAACCCAGCCCCATGGACTCCTGCACCCCCAACCCCAGCCCCATTGGACCCCTGCACCCCCAAACCCAGCCCCACGGACTCCTGCACCCCAACCCCGGCTCCATGGGTTCACAAACTGAACCCAGTTGGAAAATGCCTTCAAGAGCATCAAGCTCCGTGCCCCCCGCATCCCCAGTCCTGTCCCTGTGCCCTCCTTGCTCCAGGCGGCTCTGAGCCCCGCTGGTCCGTGTGTGGGGCTGACCCACAGCAGCGAGGAGTGGGAGCCGGCGAGGGCCCTTCACGGGGCAGGATTTGCGCTGGGAGGGAAAACAGCCCCAAACCTGCACCAGGGAGGGCAGGGACCCTCCAACAGCCACCACCGAGGGGCTCAGGGTGCCCCTAAAGGTGCCCCTAGAGGGCTGCGGCAGCGGTTGATCCCTCACCCCCATCGGCAGCACAGGACACACGCAGGGAGCCCCTGCAGCTCCCTGGGTCCCAGCAGGGGTAACCCTATCAGTTACCCACATCCCAGCGCTCCTTCCGCGTAGGAAGGCATTGGCTAACTCATTCCAGCGCCTGTCCAGAGAGCCCCAGTGTAAGCAGAGATGCAAAGCACGGAATGGTTTGGGTTGGGAAGGACCTTCAATGGTCCATGGGCAGGGGCACCTCACACCCTGCAGCACCCAACAGAGACCTTTAACCAAGAGAAGGAGACACCAGGGTCCGCATAAATAAAGGCCCTCTTTATTTAACCGCTGTAATGTACTGGTGAAGGTGACAGCTCTCACGGGAACTATAAATAACCACAGTCTGTGCCTTGGGCAGAGAGAGGAACCCGGTGCCGGCAGCGCAGGCAGCAGGGGTGCAGCGGGGAAAGGGCTCTCCCCATCCAGAGGCAGCTTCCAATCCCTGGTCCGAGCAGAGCTGGGAGCAGTCAGCACCGGAGCACGAGGGTCAGAGCCACGGCCACGGCGTGATCGAGGGAGAGGAGAGCAAACCCCATGGGGCATGGGGAAGGGGAAAGCATCCCCAGACCGGATCTATGAGGATCCCATCTCTGCCCGCAGAGTGCAGCAGCAGCAGCAGCAGCAGCAGCAATGCTTACACCCAGCTGCAACAGGGATGGATCCTTTACAGCCTCAGAGGGGAGCAGGCAGGAGCCCGGTTCTGTCTGAGCTCATCCAGTGCAGCCGCTCCCAGCAGAGCCAAGGCCACCACTTCCCCATGGTACTGAGCTCCCAGCAGTGCCAAGGCCACCACTGCCCCACGGCACTGAGGCCTCGGCTCGCCGGTGCCTGCAGCCCTGCCCTGCACAGCCTGTTCCAATGCCTGAGCACCCTCTGGGGCAGGAAGGGTCCAGGGCAACAAGGAGCGCTCCAGCCCAGCCTGGCCCCATTCCAGGTGAGGATCAGCATTCCCAGCACCGCACAGCCCCACTCGCCAAGCAGAGGTGCCCAGCGCTGCGGGGACACAAAGCCAACAGAAGACAAGCAGTGGTTCATGAGAGACACAGAAGTTAAATTAGGGAGAGATGAGGCCAAGCACGGATGGGTTCTGCTGTGAGGAACACACTTAAAGCAAGGGGTGAAGCAGAGACCACATCCACAGCTTGCAAGTTCCACCCTGGAGCTGCCCATGAGGATGGGCAGTGTCCAGGCTGCAGCACAGCCACCTATGCCCAGAGCTTGGCTGTCATTCCAGGACTGGGATGCAAGGTGCTGCAGCCATCCCCTAGCACTTGGGAAGATGCTGGCAGCTCCCAGGCTTCAGGCAGTGCAGCACTAACGTCCCATCCCATGGGATAGCCTGCATTCTGCCTGCCCCGCACGTGTGAGGAGCTTTCCCTACATACACACTTGGGCATTCAAGTGGTACTCATGCCCTGGAGCCTGTTTAACAGCCCTGCTTGAGCACATCACTTCAACCGGTGCAATGGGTGAAGTTGCAGCTGATCAAACCTCCCTCCTCTTTTCCATGCCATGACCTGGGCTGTGCCCATGGGAGCACCAAGGGAAGCGGGGACACAGGATCCACAGGGGCTCCAGCAGGGCGCTGGCAGGCAGAGGGGACAAGGATGGGTGGGGAGAGCTCGGGCTCTGCAGCCCAGGTGCAGCAGGAGCTGGAGCCAGCTCCCAGTGAGGGTCAGCAGAGAGCTGCTGCAGTCCTCAGCCCCAAAGCCTTGGCTCCCCTGTGGGCACACAGTGATGGGGCTCTGGCGCAGGGGACCCTTCCTCAGCATCCTCATGAACCCCTCTGCCAGGGACTCGTGGGCTCGGGGTGCCAGGCACAGGAGGGGCATTGGGGAGGGAGGAGGGCAACAGGAGGTGCGCAGCACCCTCAGCCATGAGCTGGGAGGTGCCTGTGCAGTAAAACCAACCCCTTCCCTCCAGTACTGAATACGGTTACGGAGCGAGAGAAGCAGCTTTCCAGCTCCTGGGACAGGGGGCTCCCTGCGGGACCCCACTGAGCAGGAGCCTCCCTGGAGCCTTGGTTCAGACACAGCTAAGGTGAAATTGCACTTGGTGATTGTCTCGGTCCGCCTGGGGGGTTCGGCCTTCCTAAAACTAGATTTATTTTCTGTACAAACTCGGCTTGAAATAGAAACCACATAAAATTCCCATTGAAAATAATGAGAATCCAGTATCAAAGAGGAAGTCTCGAGAGAGACGAGGGCTGGGGGAGGAAGCAAAGAGCAAGGGGGAAGGAATAAGAACGACAACAACAGAAGGAGAGGAGGAGGAGAGCTGGGAGAAGGGGGGAATCAGTCTCCCACATCAGAGTCCCGGTCGCCAATGAGCCACAGGACGTGAAAGCTGAGAGCAAGGAGCCCTGTTCCAATGAGGTCCCCCAGCGCGGTCAAGTATGGGATGGAGAAGTTGTCCGGGTCGAGGTCCCTGCCCCACATCCAGTGCACCATCCAGTCAGCAATGTAGAGGAGAATAAGGACCTGGGGGGCAGGAAGAACAGAGCCACATCAGCCACAGATCCCGACCTCTGCAATCCCGGGATTCATGGGGGCAGCTCAGAGCCACAGCCTCAGCCCGAGGGCTCAGAACCACCTTGCTGGGTCCTGCCCCAGAGCTCAGCTCAGTCTCCCCTCGGGCAGGTTCAAGCCATTCCCCTTGCCCTGTCCCTACAGGCCCTTGTCCCAAGCCCCTCTCCAGGTTCCCTGCAGCCCCTTTAGGCACTGGAGCTGCTCTAAGGTCTCCCCTTCAGGAGCCTTCTCTTCTCCAGGCTGCCCCAGCCCAGCTCTCTCAGCCTGGCTCCAGGGCAGAGCTGCTCCTTCCCAGCCTCTGCCCTCTCCCTCTTTAGCTTCACACCACCATCAAATTTAGGCGTAAAAGGGAGAACTCTGGAACTCAGACACGAGAAAGTCTCAGTTTTGCCTCTCTGTTTTGAGCTCTAACCAGAACAGGCTGAAAGCCATTTGGGCAAGGAGGGGACTTGGAAGCACAGGAAGCATTTAATCCAGACATAAAAGAGCAACTTCCCAGCAGCCAGAACCCAGGAGGGATGCTGCTCCCCATCAGTGCCATGAGACTGTACTGGTATCTAAGACAGAATGAACCTGCAGTGGAGCCTCTCAGCTCTCAGCTCTGCCTCTGAGGGATGCTCTGAGTCCCGGGAGTGGAGCTGGCTTTGGGAGATGCCCCAGCCAGGGCACCCTTCCTGCCCTCCAGCACAGGAGGCTGCTGGATTCCTGCTCTGTGCGTGGGGCTGGATGGGCCCCACAGGGCACGGGGGTCCCTGCTCATTCCAGAGCCTGATTTCCTCACCAGCAGGGTTAAACTTGCTAAAGCACACAGAGGATAGATCACCTCGTGTGTGTTAAACACTGTGCTAGCAGAAGGACTTAAAGGAGACAAAAGAGAGATCCCAAACTTGCCAAGAATGACAGGAAGGAAGAACTGTGTGTACAGCTATCAACACAGCAGATTTATTCGGGTTGGTACCAGCTTATTTGACAAACAGAGCCTCCCTAGCGCGTGGATCACTCACCTGGGGACAGGGTTTGTGGCTGTGCCCTCAGGAGTGCAGCCACCCCGGAAGGACGTGGCAGTGTCCCTTTATTCCAGCTTACCTGGAGAAGCGCTGCTGTCATGTAGAAGACAATGAAGATGAGGGTGAGCGTCGTGTGTCCCCCCTGCATGGAGCTGATGGTGTAAAGGAAAACCAAGTGCCCAGGCACCACCAGGAGAAAGAGCACGCGAGCAGAGCGCGAGTTCACATCTGCAAGGGAACAAAGATGGGTTCAGGCTCTGCAGCCTCCCTGGGCTCCAGGGGATGAGGCAGCACAGCTCCGGGCAGACCCCAAGCAGGGCCCTGCACACTGGACCCTCAGCCCTGCGCTGCAGCGGGGACAGCTCCGCAGGGCTCAGGGCAGGGGTGCCAGGACTTGGCTGTCCCTGTGCTGGAACCTGGGGCTGCGCTGGGCCTCAGAGCACTTTGCCAGCCGGTGCTGCAGCCCAGCAGCCTCGAGGCAGGTTTCAGTGCCCCAGACCCATCTGGAGGGGGTTTGGGGTGGAGGAGCGGCAGGGCTGTGGCAGCAGGGCAGGGCAGGGGACACCCAGCGCAGCTCTGCCCTCTCACACTCAGCTCTGCTGAGGCCCGAGCATCTCCAGGCCGCATCCCTGAGCTGAGAACTGCCCCGGAGCAGGCTCCAGGCACCGCTGCCCACGGCACTGCTCCAGCACCCACAGAAGCGAAGCCACCCCAGGTACCTGAGCTGAAGAAGGTGGTGCAGGGGCTGGGGCACCTGCGAGGGGCCGTGTCCGGGCTCTCCCCAGGCATCCCACTCATGTGCAGGTAGGTGGAGATGCGGCTCGCCTGCACTGCCACCAGGTTGCCCCCCACGCCTGCAGAGAGGAGAGAGCAGTCAGAG